CTAGAATTGGAGATATGCACCAGCAACCTGATTTAAAGTCTAGAATGCATTATAAAGAGGGCAAGAAGTTTGCTGTCCTTTTACTCACTTTGCACAGGTTTATACTTCTCCCCCAACTCCATGAGATATCACAATGGATATTTGTTTCTTTAACACACATGACTAACTTCAACTTAGAAATACTTACGTGATGACTTTGTTCACCAAACTCCTTGCTAATTCTTCTCCCTAGATTTAGTTTCCTTCTTGTTGAATCCATCCTATAGCAATTCCTTCAAAGTATGTAGTTGTAAGATTTCCTACTGGGGCTTCACTGTGATGATGATGTTTGAAAAATGCCCCTAATTTTTTTAAAGGAGAAATTAGATGGGTGAATTCATTCCAAAGACCGAAGTAATATCTAGCATTGGTTTCTGCCCCAAGTTGACTGACAGCTGCTAAACCTCAGTTCTTGTCCTGCAGCACCTACAAAACTTGTCCCAGTGACCAACAGCAGCTGCCATTCCTATGCCTTCTGTGACTCAGAAATGGAGTAATTCTCAGAAGAGAGAGGAATGTGGACTGACCCTCGTGATTGTAGTGTATGAAGTCCTTGGGCAGGAAGCTCTACCAAGCTGCCGTCATATTACAATGACTTTTAAAAAGATTTAAGCTAGTCATTATCTATTTTTTTCTTCCACAAATTTGTCTCCAGTTTTAAATAATTGTTGGGGAGATATTGCTTTACTTAGTGGTTTTGAGCACTTTCTCCTCATCCCATGATATGTGGCATTACCACGATAAATCGGTTTTCTTTAAGGATCCCTGTCTGTGGCCAGAGCCTCTCCTAGTTCTGGATTTCCTACTGTGGCCTCGGTGTGATGATGCTGCTGTTCGTGTGTTTTTATTATTAGGTACTGGTTTCATTTCTCTTCTACCAGAATTCTTTCTACTGTTTTGAACAAATTCCTTTGTATTTACTAATTTCCTTTAAGAACATTCTTGGAAAATTACGTATCTTTTGGCTTTAAGGACAGAATTTAAATGGTAAAAATGATGGAAATATCTGATTTTTGTTGGTTGCCTGGGATCGTGTGAGCCTATTTCCTTAGGGTGTAGCTTTGGGCAGCTAGAGGAGGACTTTCCCTTTTTGTCTGCTTCCTTTGATTGAACATAACAGAAAACGTACAGGTGGGTGTCTGCCGTTCTCCCCTCCTGGTGCTCTTTCCCGTCTTCTCACTTCTGCACTAGTAAGTATTGGAGCATACCTGTGGACAGCATTCCCAAACCTTCACCCAGTGGGAGAGCAGGGCGCTGTGGTCTCTCACTGTGCTCCGCCCTCCTATATCCGATCACCTTATTGGACCTCGCCTCCCTCAGAAGACTGTGCACTCTGTGCTTCCTGGTGAGCCTTCCAGCCTAGAATAGCAGTGGCTCTCAAAACAGTGCTAGTGCGGAGAACTGGCCGGTTAGGAGCGCATGGCAACCGATGCTGCTTGACGAAGTCCCAGCATTCCGACGCTGAGGACCACACTTCTCCAGAACCTTTTGACTTTTATTTTTAATAATTCTCACTGTATGTTATGGGAGTTTTCTTATGCCTTTTCCTTTGGGAGATTTGTGCAGGCTTTGAAGGATGAAAAATTTCTTCTGGAAAAAAAATCCTCAAGCCACTGTGGAACCAGGACTCCCATTGTTCCCTCCTAATTACACCAAGGACAGGAAAGTTAGAGATTTAGTGTGACACTTCTGATCCCAAGGATGAATGCCTACAACTCAGATCGGGAGCCTAGGGCCTTTAAGGGCAAGAGTTCAGTTAGTAAGCACAGAGAAATCAGAATAATACAGTACACTGGAAAGAAGAGTAAGCCATCACAACCTTCTCTTTTGGGAGTGTAGGAGGGGCACAGGCCTATACATTAAGATTAAGTCACAAAGGGAGACAATTAGGGAATAGCTTGGTGATTTTGCCCTGAAATTTGCTCTTAAATTGTCCTGGAGTAGAATCTGCTTCCCATCAATCCTTTTCCCATTAGCAGGCATTTGAATAAGGGTCTCCATTCCCTCGGGGGCTTGAGGAAAGTTCCTGCTTGATAAAGCAGTCATTCTCCCTATCTCTGACAGGGGGAACTTGTGGCCCTTTATTTGATGCAAGAGGTCTCCCGACAGAGTTACAGAACTGTTGAGAACAACTGGCATTTAGATACTTACTGTCTTTGTTTCAGCAAAGCTGCTATAGTGAAGTTAGTGGTCCCTTTCCATCCCTGAATCATTGAGTCTGCTATCAATCCTACCTGTGTCTAAGCTACTGAGAACAAAAGCTGGGTTCCTTTTTCAATAAACAGCATAGGCAGCCATCTCAATTCACTGTCAGATTGTGTCTGTCTCCTTCTCCCTGCCAACTCCACACTTCCTCTGTGGGACCTGAAACACCCCACCACCATCACCACCACCACCACCATGCTGGTCTTGTGAGAGCCAATGTTACATTTTAGGTTTTAAATATGGTGCCTAAGAGATCCTTGAAGCAAAAAATGCCTCTGATCTGCAAGCCTCTAGCTCAAGGACAGACAGTTCCTGAAATGCTGGAGGCTGTTGTTTATGAGAGATAACAAGTCACATATTTTCACTCCCCTAAACAAGATTGTCTGACCTACCTGCATGGGATGTGCTTGATCACATGTGGACGGGATGTTCACAGGCAGGAAATAGATGTACACTTGCCCCTGATTGGACCTGATGGGAAAAGCTGCTGCAAACTGATTGGGGGCCACTTTTCTGGGAAACCAGAGATGGACCTGGCCAGAGAGTTCATCATCCTGACAAGTATTTAATTAAAGCTTGCTTCAAGTTTGACTTGGAATTGTGGTAGTGGGGTAACAGTCTCTGGCAGAGAATCATATGGCCTGCTTACCCTCAGTAATCCTACTCAGACTACCCAACTTTAGTATCACATAATTTTACCCTCAACAGTGGCCAAGGTAAAAACAAACAATATAAATGAAGTAATAAAATATACAGGTAACTTAATTATATGGCTTCATCTTTTTGGTGTTTTAAAACAGAATAAGATAAGCAAGAACGGTAGTGAAGAAGACTTAGTTTAGCTAAAGGAAATGTACCATTGAGGGACAATAAGAGCGAATGTTTTGAGTACAAATGTGAGGCTGAAGTCTCTCTCAGTTGCCCTAGTCGCATTGCAGCTGGGGCTCTGGGCCCGGAAGAAGGCGGGCATGAGTGTGGTCATGCTGAATGCTGGTCTCTCTCCAGCACCGGGACTGTGCCCCATAGACTTATAGGATCTTTCAGTCAGCAGAGGCCATTGGGGACTAGTTAGTGCAGCCACAAACAAAACAGAGCGCTGTCTAATTTGTGGTCTAGCCCCAGATTTAATTTGTGAGGAAAATATATAAAAGCCATCCACCCCCACACTGCTGCTGGTTCAATGTGCCTATGAAAATTCGCCATGGCTGAAATGTAATAATATAATAATAATTTTCCCACAGGCATTTGGGAGAGTAGCTGTGAATGGTAGCAGGTGGTATCCACTAAACATACACTATCTGTGAGAGATTATATTCAGAGTCTCACATGTTTCAAGGCTTTATAGCATTGTTTCACTAGGTTCTCACCGGAGCTCGACATTCTGAGAGCATGGAGTGATGGACCTAGAACTCAGCCTAAGCACTTAGACTTTGAAACACATGCTCATAATCACTACTTTGTTCCCCTTATTGCACACATCTGTAGAATATGCATTACGATGCAGAAAGGCTGCACTGCGCTCGATGGCAAACCATACTTGAGCTTCTGTGTTACCAGTTAAACGACAACGTCACTCTGAATTACTGCTTCACATTCTGACGGGTCAGCATGTTTGGTCAACTCCATTGTTATCTCTTTTTGTCTCACCATTTCCTCAATAGCTCCTTGCAATCCATACTTCCCTCATATTACAAGCCCCCATCTTGACAGTTCCTTAAGCTTTCTATTCCCTTCTGTAAAACAATTAGATTATACTAACAGTAATTAAAATACCTCCATCATTGAGTGATTATATATATGTATATATATATATATGCTACTTTTGTGACATTACCTGTTATAATATTACAATAGACTATTAGCTGTCGTTAGACAGTAGGGATTTAGAGGATTTCATAATTAAATGTTATAAATGATGACAGAGAGATTATAATGAAATATGACTTGTAAACAAACTATTCAGTTCAGTTACTGACACTGAAGTTAGACTACATTTTGACTTTCCTCTCCTGGAGATGAGTCTATTGATCAGCAGTCACCAGGACAGCCACATGGTTTTACAACCCTGGGTGCTGCCGGTCCTGTATTTTTTATCCCTCTTAGGATTGTACTCTCTGTGCATTAGGAAACCTGATCCAAATACCCTATCCATCTTTCCCCTTGAGTAAGTGCACATGGCCATCCCTTTCAGCACTCTGCATTGACTCGTGATTAAGTTCCCCAGGCTTCTACTAGGATAGTGTACAAAAGCAGTCCACAGCAATGCTAGAGAGGGCTGCCTGTCTTCATTATGACTGGGCATCTCTCAGCTGTCTCCACAGTCTTCTAAGTGTTTGCTATCTCAGTTCCTGTACCACCCATGCGTGAGTGTATTTATATGTGGAGTTTAAACAGGCATTAAACTGTAGTGTGCTGATGTGATATTTTACTCAACAAGGAACTGAAACAGCCAGTGAAATTAATCTTGAAAACAGGACAGATTATTATCTGTAATAAGGAGCCATAAGCAAATTTGGCTTTTACTCCTTATATTCCAAAAGGGAACTGCTTTATTTCCTGTCAAATGACTTAGCAAAAAAAAAATGAAGCGTGTGTTTGGGAGAGGAGCACGTATGTGAGTGTGTGTGAATTTGTGTACTGGGAGGGGAGCGGGGAAGAGAATGTATTTTAGCCAAAGCAGCTTTGAGGATACTTCATTACTAGAGGAATGGTTGGTGATTGGTCATAAATATTAATGAAAGAATGTGACAAATTCCTGAAGATAGATTCTTTTATTTAAAATGGTAGCTATCACAACACATCATACAATGAATGAAGACCAGGGAGTCACATTGAAACTTTTAAAAACATCTCTATATAGTCACAAAACATGAAACATGCTGCTAGGATACCAATAGAGTCAGATGCCAAAGTTTCTACATTGTCAGCCTAAAAGCACAAGAGCACACAGGAGTTCCTGCGCTCATGGCAGCAGCTGTCTGAACTGGCTCTGAGTGGCCATGTCTTTCTTTGGCGACTGCATCCTTGGCAAGCTTGTGCAATACCATCGACACCGTGCTTTGCTGGAATTACTACTAACTTCTACTTCTGAGGAGGTCACCACATTAGAATTACAACACTTATTGGCACAATATGAAAAAATAAACACTTTTTTGAGTTTCGCCACTCATAACAACATTTGTTATTAAATAAATAATCATTCCTCATAGTGCATTTTATTTTACCTTTCACCACTCATTGACACAAATGAAGCTGAATAATAGTGTGCTATGGAGTTTATTTACGTCTTCTTTCATAGTTCTGCATTGCACTTCTTTCGAAAGCGACTGCAAACAGAGAGGAAGGAAAGAGTGTTTTAGGATACCCCCAGAGGGCGTGAATTAAGTTCAATCCATACACTAAATCACTGCAAGTCATAGCAACTTTTCCCCCCTTGAAGTATTCATAAGGTTTTTTTTTGTACATCATCCAAGGGTGACTGACACCATAACCTGCTTAGCAGTGTTCTAGCCATAGCATTCATGGTTTGTTTGGATATCTGCTGTATATTTGGAATCCTAAAAGTACAACAGCTTATTTCTATGATCCAGTATGACGTTCATTTTCAGCAACTGACTAAAGCACCAGAGTCACCCATGGTGATCAGAGAAAGGACCATTCCTACCTTAGCCAGGCATTAGGGGGATAATAAAGAAATGCTGAACTTTCATTCTAGAATGGTCAATAAACTATAGGCCATAGGTCAAAGGTGCCCCACTTATAAATACAGTTTTATTTGGACACATGCATACTCAATTCATGTAAATACTATCTATGTCTGCTTTGGTTTTAAAATGACAAATTTGGGGAGTCACTACAGACCAACATAGCTTAGGAAGCCTAAAATATTTAGGACCTTGTTCTTTTCAGACAAGTTCTGTTCTAGGTTCCCCTAAGGATATGATGGCCTCTTTTCTCGTGGATACCTTCTGATGGTTGATTGGTTGGCCTTGAGACTAAACTTAGTCTTACTCTCTATAGGCAATTTCACTGAACTCACAAATACACAGCACAATTTGACTTACCTCTTAAAATCTGGGGGGCTGGCTGTGAAATATCAATTGCTACTTCTAAAAGTACTTAGCATGTGTCCACTAAGTAATTTAAGTACCATGACTCACTTAGACTAAAAAAAATGCTAAAATGTATTATTTTACTATGCCTTACTAGACATAATTTCAAAGGATCTGTAACCACAAAATGTTAAGGATCAGAATAACTGTCTATGTATGGGTATTTAGGTATTTCATCATCTCAGCCAGTATTATTATTACTTAGATTTGCATTATAATGAAGTGAATATGTGGAAAATTCCTCACATGAAATTCTGAATTGAGAGGGAACAACAGATATGCAGAAGTCATGGTGACTGTGAACAGTTTCGTAGGTGAGAAAGGGTTAGGAAAAAGTGGAAGCACCAGGGCTCTCAGTTCTGCTTTCCCAGGACTGCCTCCCTCTAGGAACATGAGCAGTACCCTAATGTTTAGCTTTAGTTCTATGTATAATCTGAGTTAGAGGAGACTGCACCCCAACCTGGATGCTTCCGATGGAGTCAAAAATTCACTTCTCATTCTCTTTAATCAGGAGAGGGATGAGTAGCCTGAGTTTGTCTCAGACAGGCTTTTTGGATACCAAGACCCTGTGGCTCAAGGAAGTGACATGAACGCTAATTAAAGCAATGAAAGTCAGCTTGGCAGCATAGCCAGAACACAGTGGTCTCCCGCAGAGAAGCAGACTCTTACCTTGTGCTTGAACTCTCTGAAAATGTCTACCAGCTTCTGTGCATCACTGCTGGTGAGAGTTTCTCAGTTTACCAGATTGTCAAAGTTGTGTATGTGTGTGACCAAAAGATAGTAAGGATCAGGTGTAGCTGGGGAATACAACTATCAGAACCACGTCCCAGCGAATGCATAAAATGGGCCCTGCTTATTCCCCCTATTTTTTCCCCTTTGTATTTTCTTGAATAAAAATACAAGAATAAAAAGTTATCTAACAATTCTAATTCATTGCAGCAACTCTAATTTATTAACTATAGTTATTACTTTAAGTATATTTAATCTGCTCCAATTTGCACAGCAGCTGTATTGTTCATAGGTAAGCATGTTTCTGAAAGGTGAGGAAATTGTAGAAATGGAGAGTTGGTGATTAATTCAACTGTGAGGGAAACCCCAGCTCTGGAGAACTGGTGCATTTGGAGACAAACACTTCAGGGGTCCGCATTCATATTCAATTTCTCAAAGGTAGGAGACTATAAATACACATATAAATGAAACAATTTCAGGTTTCAAACAGGTACACAACTTCCTTAAGAATTAAACTTTGGCAGCCCCAAGTTTACTGGTGAGGAAACACAAAAGTTGTGTCTAAATTTGCAAAGTGAATTAATAATAAAAATCCTAGAATAAAAAAAATACCACTGTTGTGTGACTTCAGATAATTAAGAATTAAGCCAAAACATGTCGTAAAATTTCTGGACACTATATGTTTTATAAATAGATAGGGCAGCTGCTGATTAATTTCTAATCAGATGATTATCACTTTAATCTAGTCTCACTGACAGTAAAATATATAGAATTTCAGTATTTTTTCAGGGTGCCTAAATAAGAGCTTGCATGTGCTTAACAAAAAGCCAATTTCCATGAATTGATTGCATAACATTAAATATAGTTGGATTAAATGAGGTAAGCAACGAAGCGTTTTAGCAATATGTCTGTGGCATTTACATACAAGGTTCAAGCTAGAGAAATGAGGAGATATGCAGCCTTATGTCAAGGAAAATCCTCCTTTAGAGTCAGCATAGATTTTGGGAGTCCTAGATTTTTTTTCTTAGTTATGTAGCTATAGCTGAAGAATGGTTCGACGTGCTCCTGTTTGAAGGCATTAGAATGGACCCCACTATATTCATCCTCTTCAATGTCTATTAAGAGACTGAGATTCTGAGCTTCCATAACTTCAGGAAAAGAGAGTGACTTTTAGAAACATTTTGCTTGTTTTATATTGGGAGATTGCTGGATGTAACAGCATATGAAAATTTCCTATTATTTCAGTCATAAGTGAAAGTTCTCATCTCTCCCTAAGGGCCCAGTACATTTTATTGAGAATATCTATGGGAAAGAGTGCTAGACCAGCTCAAAGACCCCGAGGCGTGTGATGACTAAAGGAGGCAGATGCTGGAAGAGAAACATACTAGTACTGTGGTGATATTTGCTTAAGCATCCATCAATCCATTCTTAGCTACAAACACTACTATGAAAATTTCAGAAATTTCATATTATGTTACACCTTTATTAGTTCTTCAAACACTAGTCTTTATAAAAATGGTATAGAAGTGGATTTGCATATTTTTTAAACATGATTTTATACATACCAGAATTTAAAGCTCTTTTTCCCATTAGTCCAACAAAGGAATCTGTTTTATGCCCTGGAAAATACATTTAGGGGTATTTTAGTATATATGTCTTTTAAGAAATAAAATCACAACTAGTACAAAGTGTAGCAAGCTTCTGAATATTTGCCTGTGTAATAAATATGCTCCTCCCTCACTTATTGGTGAGCCCACAGAAGAGTTTATATAACCCTTAAAAATCACACCAAAACAATGCATCATCGCAAGGACTTTTCTCAATTCTATATCCAGACATTAGCAGAATCTTTGATCTCTATTGTATTTCATCTGCTGTGAGGTTCTAAAACTGGTTGCCACTGCAGCTAGCTTTGAAGTTTTGAGAGTCAATTGCACATTTGTGTGAGAGAGAAATATCAAGCTAATTTTTTCATTAACAAATACATTGTATTTCTCAACGAGTGAGCCTTTCTCTCTTTCCTTGGTGTCTGTAATCTAGTTCACATGTAGTGTTTCTAGACTTAAAAATACTCCTTTTATGAAAGCATGTAGGTTTTGACACTACCAGGATACTTTTATTTTTATTACATACTTTTAGCTTTATAAAATTCCCATAACATTTAAATCCCTAGAGGGTAAATACAAATAAAGTTGTCCTCCCCACGCCCCAAGATGAAGGGCAAGTTTATTATCTTACTGCTACTGGGGGAATTTTTTGTAGTTTATATTGTATTATTTGAGACCAGGGTGTTAAGAGTTTGGGGTCTACCCTGACACTGGGTTAAGACAATTCATGGAACTCACAGAAGGAGGCCAGGGGCCTGTGGGACTTCCTGTCCTTCTCAATCCAATTAACTGGGGAGCATCACTAAATACCCTCTAGTACCACAGTTCTGCAATCTTCACCATCCTCTGTCAGGTTTCCCATTCAATTACGGGATCAAGGGGGAAATAGCCCCACGTCTCTATCTGTTTTCACATTTTAAGTGGATTATCTGCTCAAATGATCACCCACTGCATTTAATTAGCAGCTGAATAAGCACCTTCCTAGCCACTATAAGATCCAGTTCATGAATGTGAGTTGGAAGACGTATATGAGTGCTCTCTTCTGTTCACGGGTGGGAGGTTGAGATGAAAGCTCATGATGGATGTTTAACCCTACAGTTGAAATCCTACAAATAAAAAATTACAGGTCTTTATTCTTTTTCCTTCTTAAAAGTAATATATGCTTTGGGACTGCAGTATGCCTACACAACAGTTTAGTCACAGTGATTATTCATCAAGTCACATTCTGGATATGCCTTTTCCTTTCCTGTTTCATCTTAATTAAAATTATTGGGCCCCATGTTATGCCTCAAAAGGTAGCACAAAACAGAATTTGATAAATTTCAAAATAACTGTGAACTTACTTTTGTGAGAGATCTGGCCATGTCCTAGAAGAAAAGAGAAGCAGTTAGTAGACACACGAATTTCTTTTGAGAAGCTACTTTAAATCTTTTACAGAGAACTTAAAGACTTATTTTCAAAATATTTAACACTTCTTATTTATGTACCATCTTGAGGAATTAAGTATATGAACACTAACTAATTTATTAATGAAAGCCAAATATTTTAACAATCAAAGGAATATGTATTGAATAGCCTCTGTGGGCCATGGGTTAAAAGGTGAAACTGGGACTTGAGCTCTGTTAATAACAGCAAGGATATATAATGTACTGACTTCAAGATTGATCACCCACTCACTCCACATGTATAGGAGCTCAACACACACATGCACACACACAAACACACACACACCTCTTAATTAGGCATAATTGCAAGACCTTGTATCCTTGAAATACTTTCTTACATGACCACTCATAATAGTAAAATAGAGATTTATAGGGATGTTTACCATAAAGAGCCTTTAACAGGGCCACTTGTTTTTCAATTGAGGAATCTGACAAGAGATGAATTGGCATTAACTCTTCACAGGATCCACTCACTGTGTCATCAACTCAAGGCAATGGGATATTTCTCTCACGGTAGCAAGGGGTAGCCAAATCTATCCCATTCCCAGAAACACTATAGCATCTTTCTCCCTAAGCCTGGACCATCCAGCATACCTGGAGGCACTTGCAATTTGGACCCCTAGTCAGGGAAGTGTTTAGCTAATGTTAGTTCCCAGTTTGGGTCAGTAGGGTGCTGTGAAGGATGAGAAAGGGATCTTACCACCTCCTGTCCACCCACCCACCCCTGTGGGTTAGTGCATGTTAATGAAGTGCCGATCAGTCTTCCGGGAATCACGAGTCTTTTGGTGTGTAAATATATGCTCTCAGGGCAAGAGACACTTGGGTGCTCCAGGAAGGAGCAAGCATGTGGATCAGACCTAAGGACTATTGCTCATCTCACCAGCATCCCGTTTGCCCATTAATCCAAAGAACTGCTGAGGCTTGGGTCTCCGGGCGATTCTCTGCAGAATATGCTCAAAGGGCTCTGGCAGCGCCTCCTGGGGGACAAACCCGCATCAAACAACGTGAGTGAACCCTGGCCAGTTCCACCATGCGCTCCAGCTTCTCCTAGAGCCCACAGATCCCCTGAGATCCTGTGCTCACACGAGTCCAGGTCACACAAGATTTATGCAGCACTCTCTCCGACTTGACCCCGCCTGAGATTTCCTTCTCCCTAAAGTATACTCTGGGTACCCCTGCCCAACATCACAACACCTGGTCCTGTGCATTTTCTGCTCTTTATCCTATCAGGAGACTCACTCAAGGTCTCACTACCACCTTTGTCTGTTCTCAGCGAGGCTTCAGAGACCTCCCTGCCCCGTGTCCTACGTGTGCAGAAGTGTGTCGGGTACTTTACAAGCGATCCTGCACCACCGCACAACTTTCTATTTCCCAAGGCGCGCTCCTTTGCACGAATAGCTGAGAACCATGTAAAGGGAGACTCAGAACATCAAACACACGAGTGTGGAGTTCGCTTCAGCCCCCAAGATCCCACAGCTGGTTACGATCCGGCTTTTGCCCCCACCGACTGGTTCAGCATCTCCGAACTCTCTGGCAGCACCGCCTGACCAAAGCCCCTTAAATCCCATAACTAGGAACTAAAGCCTTGCCACCTTTCCTGTCTGTTGAGGACCCAGCTCTTTAGAGAGCATCGATTCCACTAGGGAGACATTGAACCATAACGCAGCCCTCTCGCAGGGAGGAAACTTAGTTCTGGGCGCAAAGCCTTGTGCGGGATCCGAGGAGGGTGCGGGGTACTAACGCCCTTTACTTTGCACTGAGCCTCTTAGGCGGGGCTAATCAGAGTGTTACAACAAGGGGAGGGGAACAGTTCCCACGCCCGGTTGGGTCTCACCTTGATCTGGTCACTGTCAGACCAGTCGGACCAATAGTTTAGATCATCGTTGGCACCGATTTCCTCTGCAAACAGTTGAGTGGAAACGAGAAAAAAGACCGCAACGGCCACGAGGATTTTCATTTTGAATTTCTGGGGAGAGCAGGAGAGAGGAGAGGAGACATTACACACACACACACGTAGGCGGTGACCACCCAAGAGTTAGAGCAGCAGAATTTCAGTGCCACAAGAAAGGGAAAACAGGTTCCGCTAAACCAAGATAAGAAAAAATCAGGGCTAACATTTCTCCATACCCCTTAGGAAGGAGAATAAGGCTCCAAGGACCCTCAATCCTCCTCTCCCCGAGTCTCAGCATCCCAGACCCTCAACCCACTCACTGACCAAAGTCCTGAAGCCTGGAAACTCTGCAGGTGGAAGACAAAGAGGGGCGATGGCATTTGCACAATCCCCCGGGTCTGTGGCTGCAGCGGGAGCAAAGGCAGGCGGGACGCCACCTCCGAGCCAGCGAGGCAGTACCCGCAGCAGGCAGCCACAGCTGGAAGGCGGGAGTGGTACTCACTGCGGTCAGCCCCGCTGGGATGCTGGGCAGGTGCGCACTCTCTGGGCGCTCCTCACTCTCCTAGGTAGCGGTGCTGGAGTGGAGCAGGTCCGACGGTGTGCGCTCTAGTCCCTGCTCCTGCTTCGCGGTATTTATCACAGGCGTGACGAGCCTGGATAGCCACGTGACACTCTCCCCACGCGACTTTCTGCTCAATATTTGATTAGCCGCCCCCTCGCCTTTTGCTTGCGTGATGGAGAGTTTCCGAGACGGTAACCCGTCGGTGTCCATAACATCTGGACCCAATTGGGTTCGAAATGACGCAATTTTAGGGAAGTCGAGGTCTCGCCATCCAATCCAGAGAGGGCTGTTTTCTTCCGTCTGCAAATCTGACGCCCCCTCCCCTCTTCTTCAGAACAAGGTTTAGTGACACCTGAGATTACTCATCAAGATTGAGCAGAGTGACTCATGCCTCGGACTTCGAGAACTTTTCTCTCAAAAGACTTCAGGAAAAGTTGTGCTTTTGAGAACGGTCAAATCACTTCAACATTAAAACCTTTTCTTGAGGAATCACACTAACACAGGAGCAAGGACTTTAGTGGGCTGGAGCAAGGGCTTTTTTTCCTCACATTTCTACCTCCATGTGTCTTAAAGGTTGGTGAGGCGGTACATAAAAGACAGGAACTGTGCTCTCTCCCTAATCAGCCAAATTCCCTCCCATTTCTCTGGCATTTCAGAGGATAAAAGCACATTTGCTTTGTGTTTGGGGGACAGAAAAATTTAAAGCTGGTGTCGCATGCTGAATGTACTCATCAGCCATTAGAGGACATATTTTCTTCCCCAAAGCTTCTCCCTTGTCACATTCAGACAGGATCGGAAGAGGATAATTGCTCCTCCCCCCTCGCATTCTCGTTGCAGGGCTACGATGCTGGATGCTCATCATTTGTTACCACAGGGCCCTGCAGGTCGGTCAGAGTTAGACGTCATTAGCAAACATGGTTATACAGATAACTTCCGTCCTAGCAACACAGCACTTCTTCATCTTTCAATGAAGTCAGTGATACAGTTATTTGTTTTTGTTTTTTAGACTAGGTCTCATTATGTGACTTCAAACTGGTTGTTCTCCTGCCTCAGCCTACCCAGTGCTGGGATTATAGGTGTGTGCCTCCACAACTGGATTGATGTTGACTTTGGGTAGAGTTGTTTTCTCTCAGAAATTATATTTTTCTATTATGTTTTTAGTATAGCAAAGGAAATTAGTGTTTGCAAGTCAAACTGATGTTTCACCTCCAGTGTTTATTGTTTTATTTTTAACCCTGAATGTAGATTTTCAGGAGGATTTTCATAAGGTGGGCATTCTTTTTTTATTTTTAAAACTTTTAAAAGGAGAAATTGTGAACACAAATGTAGAATCATTCACCGGAGAAAAATTCTAAATTTCATGTACAGTGCCCAGTTCCCCCTTCACCCAGAATATTGTAAGCAAATTCTCACAAGCGAAAGAAACTAGTATTTCAGCCCAAGGTAAGGATTTCCAAAATGAGAACATCATCGATACTATTCTGTCTAAAATAATGTAGAATAACTTCTGGCATAGTTGAGTAAGTGTTCTCTGAAAGTCCTCACTACCTCATACATTGACTGGTTAAAATCAGAATTGCAATGGATGTCATACACATACTCTGTCTGATCCAGTCTGGGCAGATACAAATAAATACCATGAACTGGATGACTTGCCAACAGCACATTTGTTCTTGTTGTTGCTGTTTCGTTTTTTCCCTCACAGTTGTGAAGACTGGCAATCTAAAGTCAGGGTGGCCTGATTCTCATGAGGGTCCTCCTTGGGGCTGTGAAATACCATTCTGTGTCCTTGTTGAGTCCTGTATGGCGAGGAGAGGTCAAGGTTCATTGGATCCATTTTGAAAGGGCTCTACTCATATTTACGAGGGTTACATTATATTTCAGCTATGAAGGGTTGGGGTGACAGGAGCTCACTATATGCGTCTTAAAGCTGCTTCTTTCAGTCTTCTGAAAGTTGACTGATAAAGCAAGTCAGTAGAGTATACTACCTTCTGTATTTTCTTGGCCATTCTCCACTCTTTCCTTTGCTCTAGATATTTCCTGTTAATTGCTCTTGTAACATCTAGAAGCTTGACTCAGTTTTAAATGCTTCTTTCTGACTGGACTATTGCTTCCACAGACACAGAAAGTATTTTCTTGTGTATTGTGTAGTTATTCTAAGGCATACTATATGAGATAAATGCCTGATTTTTTTCTCTCTACCAACTTGCACATTTGCTAATTTACCACCTTTCAAGTATGACCTGTTTTTAAGACTAAGATCTCACAGATTTAAAAATACTTGGAACATTTCAATGTAACGCAGATACTCTTTCAGCTGATTCTCAAATTATGACATTCTTGGCCAGCAGATGACTCTGACAAGGCTCTTGATATGCCTTTAATAGGATGTAATAATTTTCTTGGTTTTGGTATGAAAATATTTTGGATTGAAGTTTTGTATTTTCTATCTCAGACTCCTAGTCTCCTTCTAATAATCTTTATTTCCATTGACTTATAAATGATAATTAGAGAGCTTAACCTGGGTATTTGGGCATACATTGTTGTCAAGTTCCTTCAAGACTATTCTGAAGATGATTAGTGGTTAAATGCACTTGTTGCTTTTGAAAAAGATAAGGGTTCAATTCCCAGCACCAGCAGGGTAGTCAACAATCACTTGTAACTCTAGTTCCAAATGATCTGCTGCCCTCTTCTGTCCTCTTTGGACACTGCACACACATGATCCACACATACCAAACACCTAAACTAAAAATAAATACATCTTTAAAAAGAAAACCAAAGAGATACTGTTGTCCATTTTCATGTGACTGAACATAAATCACTTTTAATCTTTTTATACTATTAACAATTTAAGGGAAAATATTATCAGATCATTTTCTTAAAATACTCTACAAAAGTGAAAAATCAAGAGGCTGGAGAGGTGGCTGAAGGGAATGGGAGGACAGGAGGGACGGGAAACTTCGGACAGGATGTAAAATAAATAAATTAATTAAATTTAAAAAATGAGGATGTTAGCATTCCTAAGCTCCTTCCCAGCCCTGCCCCCATTCACTTTTGTATGTGATATCTTTTTCTGTTATTTGACATCGTTATGGCTTTTAGTACTCACTGTCAGTTTTCATGGCAAATTTTCATTAGTTGTCTGCTATTCACTCTTTGTTTAAATGGAGTCACAGTTCCCAGCCAAACCTTTTAACCTAACTTTGCCATTCTCCAGTTGATTTTTAATCATCTCTCACTGCTCAATGTCATTGTTAAGCAAATTTTCCTTCTGTAAGAAGTGAATGTCTGCCAGTCACTTCTATGTCAAATGACATCTCAATCAGTTTTAATGGTTTATAGATTAAATTTCATTTTCCACAGAACTGTGTGGACATTCCTCCTCTGTCTTGCCTATTGATCATTATAAGTCATTCTGGACTGGCAGGGTACTTCCTCCTACATCTTACATGGCTTGCTTTTCTGTGTGAATGGCCGAAGAGCCCTTAGTCTCTGGCATTCAGTAGAGCGAATCGGATCTGTCCTTTGTTCACTGCAATGTAGTTCCCATTTTCCTCAAGTATTCCAGCTATTGTTTTTCTTGTGTGTGGGTTGACTATTTGTCTATTTTTTCTTTTCTCATTTCAGAGAAATTTCATTGTGCAATGACCTTGAGTCTGTCTTGAAGCAGAATGTCTACTTTAAGAATATCGCAGCACTTTTGATCAAAATAAAAATACTCCTTTATTATAGGTAACACCAGTGTGTAGACTATCTTTTCCGAAGGATCGATTTAAACCTTTGCATCTGTATTCCCTTCATTTAGCTCAGCCTTTTTCTTGTGTGTGTCAGTAATTCACTTTTGTTTACTCTGGATTTAGATGCTTCTAATTTACTTATTTCCAAAACCATGTTTCATCACCCCGACTCCTTATAGACAGCAATTTCCCTTTTCATCTCATTTAGCTGTTCTATTATTTTATTGAAGTTCCCTTGTTCTATTTAATTCATATTAAGATATTTTTAACCCCAAGTGACTGGAGGAACAATTTTCTTGTATCTTCTGATTTATGTTTTCTTCCAGTTCAGTGGCAAAATAAGCAGACATGAGTTCTAAGCAAACCCCATTTTAATACCGTCTTGGTGACTTGTTAACATTTGATCTTGGATGGGTGCCTTTTATACATCAAGTTTTCAGTTTGTTCAGAAGAAACACAAATACAAATACAATTTACCCAGAAAGATATGCCATGGGTACCAGACATGTTGCATAAGCATAAAGAAGCCCACATTGATAATGTGTGTGCTTACATGTGCACAATGGTTGATTTTTAAGCATCAACTTGTCTAGGCTGGCTTGCCCACTGTTTGTTCAAATGTCAGTCTGCATATTTCTTTGAAGATATTTGCTTAGAGGTGATCAATATTTGAATCAGTTGACTTTAATATTCATTATTTTTCATGCTATGAGTGGGTTTGTCTGGTTAATTGAAGATATTAAGGGAAAAAGACCAAATCCCCCACTCCTGGGGGTGGAAGTTAAAGGATTCAGCCTTCAGGTAGCCACTAGACTCAAGACACCTCAAATATTAAATTTTGCTAGAGTTCCCAGGCTGCCTTTCAGGATTTATGTTTATCACCTGTTACACTCAATTTCCTTCCTTTTTCTTTTTTAGTATTTATTTTACAATGATTACACACATGTACAGTGTGAACTTCTGATATATGCATGCCTGTGTAGTGCTCAAACCAGGATAGCTGTCATAACCATTATTTCAGACATTGGTCTTTTGTTGAGAAACACTTGCAATCTTCTCAGCTCTTTTGAAATGATCAGTGTGTAGAGATGTACCATAATTACACTTCTGTGCAATGGAACACTAGGATTTATTCCTTCTGCGCGCGCGCGTGTGTGTGTGTGTGTGTGTGTCTATCTGTCTATATACACACCTGTGTGTACAGGTGTCTGTGCCCGTGGATGCGCTTATGTTATGGAGGCCAGAGAGGTCATTGGTTATCTTTCCATATTGTTCTCCACCTTATTTCTTTTGAGACAGGATCTCTCACTGAACTCAACATTTCAGCCAGGGGTCCCAAATCTTCCTATCTCTGCTCCCTGACACTGGGTTTACAGGCACCTGTGGTTATGCCTGGCTTATAAGTGGGTACTGGAGATTAAAACTCATGTCGTCTTATGCACTGATCCCTCTCCCTGTTCCAATT